CAATTTGAATACTAGAAACAAAGATAAACTTGTTTTGCCGTCATGCAGGCTAAATAAGGTTCTATCGTCATTTATGGGTCAAGGTATACACTACCATAATAAAATTCCTACAGTAAATTTACCAATGCCTAAGTTTAAACCCCGTATTAAGAATTGTCTACTCAGTAAAGGATATTATACTGTTAATGAATATTTAAACGACAAAACTGATTGATGTTAAATAAAACTAATTTTTCATGCATATTAAATTATTTACGGTGAGCTTGCTTGGCTAGACATGTGATTCGATTGACGAAAATACTGTTTTACTTTTATATTTTCTAACATTGTAATGGAAACTTCAAATTTTAATGAAGTCACTTTTCAATCTTAACGCTCAGTATGAAATAAAACAGAGAGAAAAAAGCAGCCCTTGCCTCTGTCCCTCGCCAATGGAGATAGAAGAGACAGCTTTGCGTCCAGCTTAAGTAAGGAAGGTTCATTTCATTATTATCATATCTGTAATCTATATACATATATCTGTAATCTATAAACCTTATAACATCACTAGTCACGGAAAAGGTACAGAAAGTTAAGTAGCCAAATAAATAATTCGATTTATGAAAAGTTAATTAGAAACTTATTAATTATTTAAAATTCGTATGCGTTCTTGAGTGAAATGGACTAACTTCACAGACATTAAACTATGTATATACATTACTAGCTGTTTTCCCGCGACTTCGCATGCGTAAATTATTACGTCAACCCTGTAACCTAGCTATCCGTATGTGAAAGAATTTCTGAAATCTGTTTAGAAGTCCATTTGAAGCAAACAAACAAACAATCAAATCATATTAGTAAAGATATATAATATTAGTAAAGAATCTATACTAATATTATGTCTTTACTATAGAAAGAGTCTCAGAAGAAGGTAACGCAAGTTTTTAAAGACAATCTAGCATTAAAAAACCCGTACAAAGAGTTAACAAGCCTACTTATGCAAATGAAATTATTACGTGCCGAGAGTATAACAGGAAAGTTTAATTTGGTAAGCCTAAACCAAGTCTTATTATGAAATTTTATCATAACCGCATTAAAATATAAAAGGTTTCTCTTTGTACTTTTCCTTGTGACGTGAAAAGTGATTATAGTGAAATTATTTGCACACACGACTTTCCCAAGTTAACGTGTGTTGTTTAACAAAGCCAAGAATACTGTGGGTATTCTTTAATCGAGGACACAAATCGATATTTTGAAGTACATTTACTTCAGTAAAAATTTTAACACTCCCGATATTTTTAACACCTATGGCTACGGTGTCTAAACGTATAATAATTTATCGTAGTAAAATATATTAATCCCACCAAAAAATAAATTCATGTTAAGTGTTGCGAAGCCGGGACCAAATGATTTGCACTGTCAAAAAGTTGTCAGATCTCTTATAGCCAAGATTCTGACTCTACAAACCTACATTTAATTCAAAACATGTGGCTCGGCCGTTCCGCTACCGTCAAATGGATATAAGGTGAAAAACTTATTCACCGTTCATTACTTTTCTGTTGTGCCTTTTCTGTTGTGTACTTCTTTTTTGTAAAGACGAAAAGGTTTGAATTGGGTTTAGAATTAAATTTAATTGTAACAATTTTAAATTGTAAAATTTATATTTAATAGCTCGCCCGGGCATTTATTTTTCGATAACTCATCAATTAGTTATTTTTTTTTAATATTTATAATGTAAAATACAATTTTGATCTACATTACATGCATAACGTATCTAACTTATTCATTTGAATAAGAAACAAAAGTGTATTGTTAAAAATAGGTTCGTAAATAACCCATCATTTTACTGTTTTAAGTATACGTAAAAAAATAGTTATTGTGGGTTATCCTTGGAATATAAACATATACCATATATTTTATGTAGATCTATTAAAGAGGTACAAATCCACCATACAATGTTTTGTTATAACTCAAAAGTTTTTGGCAGTGTTTTCCGATCGGCTTTATTCATTTTTTCCGACATATTGAACTAATATCGTTGTAATATCGTCAGTTTGTATAAAACCTAAATTTACTATCCACTAAAACCTTCCACAAGAATTGCTCTATCTATTGTTGAAAACCGCACGAAAATCGTTTATCGCGAACAGACAGACAGACAGAAGAGGTGGGGGTCTTTGTTCTATAATATGTAGTGGTATATACCAAAGTATTTCAAGTTAATTAGGGACTTGGTTTCTATACCATTCACTATTATGTCGCTACTTTTATTTTAAAATGTGATAAACCAAAATCAAAAATTATAATTATGTTTTAAACAACTACTCAAATAATTTTAATAATATATAGTAAAAAAGCAAATAATCGTCATTTTTATGGTATATATTGAGCATCTATCAAATAATCACATTTTTTAATTTTAAATAGTACCTAATATGTATGTTCAAATATAATTTGTACAGGAAGCGTTGTTTATGTGTGGTAAGATTCTTGTTAGTCTGCTGATAATCCATCCACCGGATGTGTAAGGCCAAAACTTAAATCATCTTGTCAACTTTCTGGCGAAATTATTATCAGCAGTCTCGCCGAACATCAACAATAAAAAATATACATACCCGTAGAACGAACAGTTTTTAACATACTTCATAATCGAAAAGGAGGCTATTCGATTTTGAAGCCGATTAGAAATATAATCCAAAAAATAAAATAAATTGTTACTGGCTTTTATTTTTTAAGTTTATTTTTAGTTCAGTTTCAATGAGGCGCGACGCTGCGCTTCTCAATCGTATTAAATTTCGAGGCAATTTTTTTTAACAGATAATAAAACTAAATTAACTTTTTGGCGGCTTTTAAATCAGCAGTGATGTTACACGGTCCAAATGTCATGATAATTCAACTAGAAAACTAGGGGTGTAATTGAATGGCGCCATTAAATTAAATGGCTAACCGATCAATTGAAAGGTTACTTTAACCAGTTGGCTGCGACATACATATCACAAAAACGTCATGAATAGGTATGACGTGGGAATGACGGCGTTTCCGCAGGTAAAATGTTTAAATTTTAATTCAATTATAAGACAAAAGACGTATTTATTTTTCCATAATTTTTGTTTTATGGCTTTTTAAATTATATTAAACAGTTACAAGTAGACAGAAAACAGTTAGACAGAATAGAATACCCTATTAAATAAAATTAAAGGGCAATAATTTAGTCATTAGACAAATTGTTGACTTTTTTTCACTCGTATCTATTGTCCAGAGAAGTAATTACTTGCGAAAATGGCATAACTAAAGCAGATATTTTTAACCAATACATGAGAATTTGAATGAAAAAGAATATAATAGTGTTCTAACATTAAAATTTTTATTTATTAAAAATATTTGCTTAAGTAATTACTTTTACCAGACTATCCATACAGATCAATAATAGCATAAGGGTGACTGGCACTGAGCTGTGAAAATATTATAATTAAGAAATATGTGATTCTATGTACTTCAGATTGTACTTTGAATGTATTTAAATTTAAGATAATTTTTAAATGCTGAATACTTTTTTAAAAGGTAATAATAGTAAAAAACAATTATAATAGCTTTTTTATTTACCAGTCAAAAAATAATCATTTAACTTCATTTTATTAGCTTACATGAGTGATAGGAGAAAAACCAGTAAAGTCCATCTCTGCTTACATAGTACTTCGGTCACCCTACAAAATCATTTGGCGTGAGTATAGTTGGGCAAATCGTCACACATTAAGATGACCAGATCAAGAAATGGCAGTATATTTTGATCGGCCCAATTTAACAATTGACCCACAACATTTATACTAATATCTTAAAGAGGTAGGAATTGATTGTTTGCATAGAATAGGCACACAAAAGTACTGCACTAATTTTAAAAATTCCTGCATTATATGCAGGTGATATGGGCTACAATATACATACAAAGTTGCAGGAAAAAAGCTAGAGACAAATATAACAACACCAGTTTTATAATACTTGGTATGAAAAGAATATTATAGAAAACATACAGCAAATATTTCTAATGTACAGTTAATATGCCTCTTTTACCCATAACTGTGCAAACAAATCATTCGCCTGATTTAAATCAAAAAATGACACCATTTAACAACATACTTAAATCCCTTTTACAAATATTGATTTTATAACATAATTCCATTCACTAATGTTTAAAATTATATTAATTGACAATGAATATATGTGATCACGGCAATGTTTCCTTAAGTAGATTCCATAGGAGCAAGGATTCCCAAAGTGGTAATTTTGACAACAAAGGGTTAATGTTAATTTCCCAGAGGTAAACTAATTTTTGGGGTTGAAGATTTTTCTTCATAATTATTCTTCGGTTTTTCTTTGAAGCTTGCCAGATACATTGTAAGTTGATGTTTATTAGTTTGTTATATTTTGGATGAAGAAATAAATTTTTAAATCAGGAAGTATGTAATCCAGATATATGCATTTTTTTAATTCCCTAAACTGGGTAAGTAAGTTATGGGGGTTTGAGGCTGAAAATAGTTTTGGAATCCCTGGGATAAAGGATACATTTCAGAGTAACAGTGAACTAGCTTTATTTTACAAATAATTTCACTAGCATTCACCCAGCCATTGAAATATGTTATAAAACAAATCAATATAGATAGTAAACGATTTCGCTACATGCTATTTTCGCCAAGCACACTGCCAATCTAATTGATATTTTTTTACTGCAAAGCAGAATTAGGGAAAGAATAGTTTTAATTTCTCCAACAACAACAATTAATCGTTCTGTATACCCATATTTCCAAGAGAGCACAGCCAATATAAATTTATAATACAAAAGAAATATTTCGAAGACAGCTGGTTCTTTATAACAAAATTAGAAACAATTATTAATTATTAGTCATTGAGGCGTTTGTGCATTTACCCGCATTCGATTCATTTGCTTGGTTTTTGTGTGCACAAGCGCCCTTACGCTAGCAAAAGTTAAAACGAACAAAAGACACACGAAAACAACTTCTACTTACCTCGTACTTTATACCAGCTAAGCGGAGCCATGTTTCAACTTTCAAGCAGTAAGGAGATGTCGAAGGTAACAACGGCGTCCGTGAAAACTGGTACAGATACACGACATCTTTTTCATAATTAACTTTATGAACAGAGGGCTTGGGCGGGGCTGGTTCTGACTTTTTCTCTTCTGTTTTTTCTTCGGTTTTTTGTGCTGAGGCGTCCTCTTTATTTTGACCATTGTCAACCGCCGCCTCTTCTTTTAATTCCTTCTCTTTTTCTGTATTTTCTGGAGCGGTTTTCGGTACTTCTGTTGCCATTGTGAAGGAATATCGAACACTGCTTTTATATAAAAATCACGCACTAGACTACACTATAGTTATTGAGATAATTGAAATATTTAGTAGATATAATATTTAGCATAAAATACTATTATAGAAACAGTGATGCGTTAACAACGTTTTATACAACTGCCGTGCCGTGCGATTTGCCGCCGGCCGCGCCGCATCAATAATACTAATAGCGCGCGTACATACAAAAGGAAAGCCGGCTGCCGAAGTCAACTGAGTAACTTACGTTGCCAAGCAACTAGCAACTTGTACAAACAAAATGGCCTCGACGTAACATCCGTTACGTAAGCTTTGCCCACAGACCAACTAGAGTAACTTGAATTAGATAATAAAAAAAAAACAATATTTAAATACTTATTTATTAGATAATACAACATTGCTACAGTGTGTGTACAATAATGTAGTGTGAGATATATATGTGATTTATACGATGTTTTATTATTACATTATGATAGAATTCAAACTCCGTCCGATCACAGTACAAATATATAAGTAGGTGCACTCGAGACCCAAGCGAAAGATAAAAGCCTAAACACGTAGGGCTGTCGCTTATAGGTTATTGAATCGTCAGAAATGCATGGTCAATCAATCTCTAAAATATAGACTACAATGTTTTTCATACCTACGTTATGTCATCAATTTAGTGTTTTGTAAAATTAAAACGTGATTTTGTGTTGTTATCAATGGGCCATATTTTTTATATTATATTGTCTAATACGTAAATATATAATTCAATATCAATTTTAGTTTGGCGGTATTCGGGCAAAGAGATTTAATAAATTAAACTACAAATTGATATCTGCTAAACGAAATCTTGCTAAGCTACACAAAATTATAATTATTTATGATATTATAATAAGTTACCCGAATACCTAAAGAACGATATACTTGATGTATAAAAATGTGAAATACTGGATTTATTAATTCGCTAGCTTTCCGCCAGCGGCTTCGCCCGCGTGATCTTGTATTATATATACATAAAAACCTTCCTTTTGCATCACCCTATTTGTCAAAAAACCACATCAAAATCCGTTGCGTAGTTTTAAAGATTTAAGCATAGGGATATAGGGACAGAGAAAGTGACTTTGTTTTATAGTATGTAGTAATATAAAATATTTTGGTTTAGTTTTCAAAGCCATCTTGTTTACGTTCAGAAATGTTATAATGAGTAATACAGTGCGCGCAATATACGCAAGCACGGCGTACAAGCGACGACTGTAGTGATGAGCTCCTCACTCGCGAGGTACCTCGTTTGACGTCCTCATTTCGACAAAATGAGGGAGTACTCGTTTCTCAATTTTGAACCACCTCATTAAGCTCCTCCACCAACCATTTTTGGTGCGTATGTTTGAAGAGAACTTACTCTTATACTCTGGTCCGATTATGGTGTTTGATAATATTACTTATTTACTTCCTCTACTGGCAATCCAGTTTGACATAACTTAGGGCCGTGTTTCGTCTGTCGTGTTGTTTGTGGAACTTTACATTTTATCGATAATCCATCTTTGATTATTTGGATCGTTTTTTGTCATCCAGATAGATTTCAAAATCGTCGCAAAATGAACAGAACAGATTTAAGATATTATCTTAAATTTCACTCATAAACTTAGAAAACAATGGCAATCGTAACTTCAGTTCATAGTTTCCTTCATGTAATAATTGGATATTACCCTTATTTCTGTGAGTTATTACCGTTTTTGTACGACATTACGAGAATAGATCGATTTTAGATAGATGTAACTTTAAGTTTATGATGAATGAATAAACGAGTAATGAAGATGGGTATTTCTTCGGAAATTCATCTTCCAGTATGATACATCCGTCATTATTGTTCTTCAAAAATGTTGAATCTTGACTGATATTTTATTAATTTTAAAATCTATTTAGAATCCATTATTACAGATTATTACAGAATTTTCGAAGAAATAATTTTATACTTAGGATAAAGATGATTTATTCTAATAATTATATTCGATCAATTTTGCATTAAAAATGCTATAATGGAAAAAAAATCTTAATGAAATAAAAGAATAGCATTGTGAATGCAAAAATGATCAAATATAATATAAGCTATTTGAAATCTAATATAGAGGAAGAACAAAATGGGGGACTTTTATATCACTCACAAGAGTAAACAAGCAAATTTCAATTTATTGTTTACTTTCATGATATAAATATTAAATGGTTGCCAAAGAAATAAATTTACAATTCTTCTTTCTATTCCGCCAATGATGATGGATTAGTTATCTCTTGTAGAGTGGATATCAAATGAAACTGTTGCAATCGATAAAACCATGGTTAAAAGCTCTTTACATTATAATTCTAATATGATGAACGCGGGCCGACTTGTGGGCAAAGATGTAAAGTCCAGATGAACTCTATTGTATAATAAGAAAATAACATAGTGTGTAATGAGGAAGTATTTAGAAAAAACATTAGTTCCCGAAATCAAACTAGATGTCACTACGGTACTTTCTTGGTTTCTCCATGACAACCCTTCCGGTTTTCTTTCATGTATAAAAGTAAATTAATTTTCAAAACTCAATAAACAACTCATATTCCATTTGTCCTTTTTCGTTTTTGTATTGCTATCTAAGTTGGAAACTTAGCTAGCAATACAAATACGAAAGCATGTTAGTTAAAAGGAACGGAAATGACTATCTTTGGTCCATTCATTTACTGCAAAAATCAACCTTTGTTAAGAGTTGCCATCTAGTGAGGTGCTTTTAAGTGCCTTCTTTTTTTTCTTACTATACTGCCTCATTATTATATTTGATTAATTTTGCATTCACAATTTTTCATTAAGAATAACTTTTATTTTATCAGAATATTTTCCTCTTAAAGAAAATTTATAAGCATTATTTTTATAACATAATATAATATAGCATTGTGACTTCAGCCATAATTTGCCAGGACCTGTATTTTATATATTCTATTAATAAAAATCGCCCAGTTATTATACCCTATATTTATTAATATATTTTTTTTCATAGTGAAAACGACATCCTTATCCATGTGGTTCGCATGCCGGTTTCAAGGTGTCGCCATCTCTGAGATCCCGTGTTCAATTTCCTGTCGGATCAATATAGAAAATGAAAATGTCTGGATGTTGTGGTACCTTCGTTGTCTCAGATAGTATATAACACATATTATAATGCTTTAGCTACTCATCTTTGAATTTGAGCAATGTGTAGAAACCTTAACGGTGAAGTCAGGGGTCCTACTGGATGATGGAGACAACTGGTAAGTGAGACTAGAGGATAATTATCTCCCTTCGAGCTACGTATCGTTATCCCGGGGACTGTAGTCCAACCGATGTAGCTTGAATGAGGAAGTATTTTAAAAAAACGAAAGCACTAAAAAATCACCTCCACTGGATGGCGACTCTAGCAAAAGTTGATTTTTGCAGGAATGAATGGACCAAAGACAATCATTTCCATTCCTTTTAACTAACATATTAAAAAATTTAAATTTGGAAAGTTCGAAACTTAGTTATCAATACAAATACGAAATAGTATAAATAGAATATGAGTTGTTTATTGAGTTTTGAAAACTAATTTACTTTTAAACATGAAAGAAAACCGGAAGGTTGTCTAGGAGAAATCAAGAACGTACCATAGCGACATCTTGTTTGATTTGGGGAACTAATATTTTTTATAAATACTTCCTCATTGAGAAATTTTACTTAATAATGCTTTTTGAGATTTATTCCCGGAGATTCGTTATCATATGTTATTGTTTCACTTACTGGCCTGTTGATTTCCACTTAATTTCTCATACGGCCCACTCAATTCAGAAATTTCCACTTAATTTCTGAATTGAGATATTTTTTCTTGTTTAATTTACAATCAGTGATGCAAATATGTTGCAGGTTTAGTAGGTTAAGAAGTGTGATCTTCAGTAAGGACATCTCTTATTTACAAGTATATCTCTCTATAGGACATCTTTCCTTTCGAGTCGCTTGTTGTAACTCCGAGTTATAAGCGGTTTTGTTAGTTTATTCGGGTGAGTTTCCAATCTGACTATATCTTTGAGTAGCTATGTCTATTTCTTCCTTCACTGTTGTTACTTCCAGGTACATATATGCATGGATCTTGTTATTAGTTATATACCATGGCACATTACTAATGGTTCGGAGGATCATATTTTGGGCTCTTTGAATGCATTGGATGTCATACTTACTGACAGTACCTCAGAGTCGTATGCCATAGGTCCATTGCGGTCTAAGAATAATTTTATAGACTAATAGTTTGTTATCCACTGACAATTTGCTGTTGCGCCCCATCAGCCATAGAAGATGTTTATGGCGAATGTTAAGTTCTTTTCTCTTTTCCTTTATATGCTCTCTCCAAGTAAGTCACTTGTCCAGATGTATCCCCATGTATAGAACACAGGTTTTATGTGGGAAAGTAATATTTTCTAATTTCACTGGAGGGCAGTCGCCTTGGTCCATTGTGAAAGTGACATGAATGGATTTTGACGAACTGGCTTTAATTCACAACTTCTGCAGCCATTCTGTAATGTCATCTAAGCCTATTGGCAGTAGTTGCGTTGCTGTATTTGGGTTTTCGTGGCTTGGCAGAATGGCAGTGTCATCAGCAAACGTAGCAGTTGTAATATCCTCCATTACAGGCAAGTCAGCTGTATAAATTGAATATAATACCGGTCCCAAGACTGAGCCTTGTGGTACAGTAAAAAAAATGAGGTTTCTCCTAATTTTTATCTCGGAATACTCTTTCGGTGATATAGAATTCAAGAAACTGGTGGTAACTGTGTGGAAGGCTATATTTTTGTTTGTAGAGGTTTCTTTATGCCAGACCCTATCAAATGCTTGTTGGATAGCCAAGAAAACCGCAGAGCAATACTATTTTTCTTCAAGAGTTTTTCTTATTTTCTCATGTACTCTATGGAGTGTTGCTGTCTAAACCTAAATTGATGACTAGGTATTACATTGTTTTCGTTTAAAATAGGAAGTAGGAAGGATTCTGTGAAGCAAGAATTTTCGAAGATCTTGGACAAGATTGGCAGTAGACTAATAGATCTGTAATAAGGATTTTGTTATGGAACGGATTTTACGATGAGTGTCTCTAAATTAATGTCTACTAGCATGGGTCTCAACCTCCCCGCAGATTTTTTGGAGGTAAGTATTCTTATCCCGTCTGCACGCCTCCTCTATGCGCGCAGATTTCTCATTCACTATTCTTACATCAGTGCCGAAAGCTTTCAGCAACGAGCTTTGGCTCCTATTTTCGCGTTGAGGATGTAACGAGGCTAATAATGATGAATTTTTTTGTCCCAAGGATCTAACATATGACGAAAAATCATTAAATAAGGCTCTTTTGTAATTTTCGAGATGATTTAATTACGATTTTGTGAATATTACGACTGACATTTTAAAGTTCTTTTAGCAAATACTGTAGAATTAAAATCGTAACTCGAAAATTACAATAAATCGGCATACGTTAATGTCTTTGAGTGATTGAAAGAGAAACTTGGCTAGAGAGGCAAATGAGAAATAAACATGATTATTATTACTTATTTTTATTACTTTAAATGTTACATAAGATGAAAATTTGTAAAAACGGGTCACTTAAATATTTGTCAACGGATTTAATACATTTGAAATATTCTAGATAAGTAATTAAACACAACCAAGTTATTTCAAATTAGGAAAGCTTTGACGCTCACTCAATATTCGTACCTACACTGGCTAATCTTATAATTTTTCAAATTTTAAGTCAATGTTTAGTTATGCTGCGATATAGATAACAGTAATGTTTTGCAATCTTATACAAAAGTCACAGTGTAAAAAATTACGCGGAGCCTCCGGTGCAGCCTTTGGAGTTGCGTTAGATGCCGCCCCGGACCAGGGGTCAACAAATATATTAGTAGGGGTCCATTTACCTCTTAAAGAATTCTCTAAAGAGAGGAGGTTATTGGTGGAAAGGTAGTAGTAGAAGGTAGGTATATATGTATAACACAGGATCACGTGGCCAAACCGTTGGCGGAAAGTTGGATGAAATAAAATGAAAGTATTGAGACCACATGGTTATTACGAAGGTAGGTAACTAACGAACATTCGAGTAGAAGATCAATTTAATAAATGTATTTTTCTCTGTCACCATGTCATTTAGTCACCTCACCATAAAACAAATTATTTGTAGAAAGAGTCAACCGACACTAGAATTATATGCTTCGTATCAAAATATATAAACATTCAGATATTTTGAATGCAATGTAAATATTTCGCTATCTATAAACTGTACATGATTAGGCAATTAAAGCCAGTTTTAATATCGAAGCAAAAAGGTTTTCTTTGTCTTACATTATTTCTTGAATAATCCAATATAAATATTAACGGTGATCACATATCTATCAGAGATAAAATGCAAATTAATGACACATTAGAATTCTGACGATTCAACGCTACATATGTTCAATGGTTCAATGTGTGTTCAAATTTCACTAATCATTAACGTTATTACTATATTAAGTACCTACATTGCATACAAATTAAGATTTCTTATTAACAAATTAGTAAAAAAATTATAACAGTTAAAACACCACAAATTTACACAATATTTGCATAAAACATTGTTAGTTTCAGACTTGTCTATTATTGATGGTACAAACCAGCTATTGCTCCAATAATCTACATACACACTTATTTTGTTGAAAATTGCCCTTACATAATTATTAAATCACTTATTACCTATATTTGAATGTGATGTATTATATAATAATTCATTCAACTAAAATAAAGTTTCTATTACATTAATATACACACATCTTACTTAAAATCATAATATTATTGATCTTAAAATTATTGAAATGGTAAAAATCATTGGCAGTTAAATAATTACATAATAATAAAATAAAATAAAAAAATAAGAATGTGATAAATATGAAGTAAATATGTTTGTAACACCATCTTTTGCGCTAGCTATTCTAACTATAAAAATAAATATTTCCCTCAGTGACACGTAATTATATCTATGCCTCCCCATAAAACGAGCAATAAGAGAATATTCTTTTTAAGGGACGATTACAATTTGAACGACACTCACGTTTCATTAAATAGTACCATATATTATTGCTTATTCCTACTTCAAAATATTAATGATTTGCGATAGCTTTTTGCCAGTAACGAAATGAGTGTGCAAACAGCGCTGTTCCAGCAGCGATGCGAGATTTATATTCTTTTAATATAATACTCTACATCACCCATTTTATAATGTGTAAACAGCGTTAAATAGTATCGTAAGATTAATGAGGTTATTAAAAATATGAATATTATAACCATTATTGTAAAGAGCATATAAGCGAACACTATCACATTATAACTGGGTACAATAAATTAGTTCTATACAATATGATTATTCCGTAGCTTTGATTAAAAAAATCATACATGTTATAAATAACTTTAACACTTTAATAAAAGTGAGATCAAAAAGTGCTTTAACTCATCGTGAGCTCTATGTTTAGTCGTGTACATGTGATGTAAACATGCTGAATAACACTGTAACATAGTGCAAAAATAATATACTTTCAAAATAATAGTAACAATAAAAGAAATGACAGTTTTATTTCAATAATTTGAATGTGCTGAGACATATATTGCAATATGCCATTATACTTGTCTTATCCGCGCACAATTATTTAAGTTTGTCAAATTTCGTCATCGTCAAATAGAATTAACACAAATTACATTAAACGTTAAATTTGTATAACGTTAGCTTCAGAACATCAAAATACGTACGGCTATGTTTCTATATTGTACTGGACGTGTTTCAAGTGCACACTTTTATAGGATATATTTGAAGGTTTTTTTTTAATCAAAGTTACGTAGTCATCGCTTCCTTAAGTCTAGTGAACAAACAGAAGATGTACTACAACTACACTTCACTCGGAGCTAGAGCTCGAGCTTGACGGAGTGTAGCTGTAGTAGTCTTGCTGCTAGGCGGTGTTGATCTGCTCCACGTTTAGATGCGTAATAAATCTCAATCGCATCTGCAATGCCGGCCGTAGCTTCCGTATTACTCCCTCCACTTCGTTTTTGAGTGTGTCACCCACGAACATGTATTTTATATGATATCTGATACGGTGATCAGGAAATCTAAGGTATATTAAAATTAGAAGTTTCCTCACGAAAGACGATTATTAGCTATCTGCAAATGCTCTCTGAATTTCTGCATTAGATAAAACTTAAAACCGTCAAAGTTACTTTTAATATAATGCATGAATGAAATAAGATCACAAAATATAAATTATTAAAACAAAAATATGTAATAATAACTCACAGAAAACTATAGTAAATCGATAGAGTTGAATAAATACGAATGATCAGGATTTGACGCGTTTCAAAATTTTGTTTTCTGAGAAAGTACATTAAAGAGCACTATTAACTGCATCTTAATGTAACCCAGTGAGCTATGTCAACAACTTAATATTCTACAGTAAATATACATATTCAAAAGGATACAACAAATCACATATTGGATCAATGTACTGTAGATGGGGCTGGGCCTTGTCGATATGCGCCAACAGTTCATACAATGTGATCGTAATATCCATAACAGCCCTCGATATATCCGTGTACCTCTGTAAAAACGGACCCACTAGGTGGCAGAGGAACAATAACTGTACTTCTGTGTGAATTTCAGGTGCCAGTTTCTCTTTTACGAACCTAAAATTTAATTTTAGAAAATAAGTGCATGCATTATATATATTATTAATGGATATGTTACGCTCAAAGATCGAAATCCCTCATTGAGCGAAAAATGAACAACGCGTTGTGGCTACACTAAATTATCCACTGACGAGCGTAGAGAGAAGGAATGTATTAGGTTGACTGTAAGCAAACCATAATAGAACATCCAGTCCTTCGTTATATGGTTTAACCAATTAATGCTCAGAACGCGTCGTGGCTTTTCTTCATTGCCACAACGCGTTGTGATCAAATAGCATGTCAGCCACGACACGGATTTCGCAATGTGGTTATTTTGTGATTGTCACAACGCGACGTGAGCTTTTCCGTGAGAGCCATAATACGAATTTCGCTATGTGGATATTTTACTGTGACAACATCGCGTTGATCACACCGCGAAGCGCTATTCCGTCTTAATGAGCAATTTCGATTTTTGAGCATAGCTGATACACAAAGTTCTGATATATAGGATATAATGGCAATAACAAGCAAAAAAAAAAAATATCAAAACAAGTTTCACATGTAGGTATTTATGTTAGAAAACCAAGCAAAATTATTGTCTGGTCCAGTGGCGTAACTGCAGGGTGGCAAGTCGGCAAAATGCCACGACAGACTCCTAACTCCTGACATTTATTATTAGTTACGCCACTGGTTTGATCAGATACTGTCTGGACTTTAACCAGTTACCTCCCATTACCGATCGAGTGATTTTTGAACTGGTAACATAATAGGTCTTAAGTACTTGATAATTTCGCTGCTAGTAAAAGTATTTGTATCATAGGTTTAGGTAAAGATAATTACACCATATCGAGTGCATGATGTTAATTATAAATTAGTTAGTCAAATTACAAAATAAACAAATACTATGATGAAAGTGTATATGCCTCTTGCTTTTAAGAGGCAAGCAATATTAGGAAAAGCTGCGCTTGAATGTCATTAACAGATGCAGTGAATTTAAATTTTTTAAAGGTTACCCCGCATTATTATTCTCGGCAATACTTACTGGAGAACTTGCATTATTTGTCCCGATCCTGCATGGTACCAAATTGCATGAGCCAAAGCCAAAGTCAAACTGTATCTGTTCTCTAACATAGAATCGTTAGTGGTCGTAAAGTTGAACAGCTGAAAGGGCGTGTGTGGAAAAGGCCACTCGGTCATATCACTATGACATATTAACTCTAAAATGCGATCGTGTAGCACCGTCCAATATGGATCTGGCAGAGCAGCCATTATCAACCCAACTGCGTTTATCCAAAGTTGAATTTTCGTTGCAGGTATAACTACGAATCCCTTGGTGATAACGTCCAGTAGACTGTTACCAACAAAGTTTGGTGTTAACGGCAGTGTCATCAGTTCTACGCACGTCACGTAGAGGGCGTGCGCTGAAGGGTTAGGGTATTCGTTAAATCTCCAATCCGTTGTGGGGAAATGTGGTACGCCAGACATTGCTATACATTGGTCAAGGAAACAATCGTCGTAAAATAGGTTTAATATTTAAATCCATCATTAGAGAAAAACAGAAATGTACTTTATACGACAAAATATAGAAAGTCGTAAACGTGGCACGTATCAAGGACAGAAATGTCGAAAGCTAATAGATTTGATTGTTTGTTTGCAACCAATAGACTCCAAAACTACTGGACCGATTTTAAAAATTCTTTCACCTACGGGTAGCTACATCATATGCTGTGAACATAGGTTATATTTTATGCTAAAAAATGGCAAAATAAAAGGATGAAATGGGAATGTAAGTTTGTAACCATTGTTTAATATTCAATATGTCATTTTAATTATAATCGTGTCCAAATGATTTATTAATTAAATTCTTAGCTTGAATTTGGTTTTATTTAAGTGGGTGTTTATCGAACTCAACAGTGCCCAAAGACCACGCGGACGAACACGCTAATCGAAAGCTAGTGAAAAATATAAAGATATTTTAATATTTTCCAGTAATAAAAAATAATTGAAGAGGATACTATCCACCATTCTGTTGATCAAGCTCAAGTAGTAGTTGAGATCTGGCGACCAACCCGTCGCTTCTACCTCTGTCTTGGACAGGTAGCCCTGGAAGGTTTCAGTGGTAGCCCATCCGGATGGTCGCACTTCCTTCAAAGATCCTAACACTGCAGTTACGAGTTTCCTCTTCAAAAGTGGCTTGTCCCTGAGTTTCGTTTCATAGTAATGCAAGGTGTTGTATAAAAAGGTCACCGGACGATCTATTGAATAAACAAATATTTAAATAATTATTATGAATATTTAAGCCATAGAATGGTATTTTATTATTTTTGTTATAAATTGCTACTTTTATAGGTATTGAATGACCATCAAATCTCACCATGGAATTTGTAGAGATAACCAAGATGTTCTAGCAACTGCTCTAAGTTTTTGCTGACTTGCGGTATCTCTAAGTGTCTATGCACGACTATATCCAAAACAGGAATAAATCGTAGACACACGTTGCTAAGGTATACCGGTATAGGACCTCCATAAGTACTGTTAGACTCTTCAGGGGCGAATTTTTCTGGATATTTCCTATGAAACGCCATATGTTTGTCATACCTGTGCAGAAAAAAGAACTATTAATTTAAATACATACAGCCGATTGCACAAACGTCCATTAAAATGTTCATTAGTTTAAAGCGACTTCATCCGTACAAATTTGACATTCATTAGAGCTTAAAGGCGTCATTAAACCTTAATGGACGTTTGTCACAATAAATAAATGATGAGTAGGTAGAGCGAGCAATTAGAAACCTAACATCAAAGGAAGGTATTGTATTGCATACTTTCACCGATAATCAGTTTATTAGGAAAACGTGATCTTGATCCGTTGCAAAAGATAATCCATATTAATAAACAACTAACTAACAAATTGAAATTCCAAACTTGATGTTTCAGTTGGAAATTAAATGTTATGATTAATACAGAATTCGAATATGGATACAGGATACAATTCAGATATTAAGTTATAAGGAATAAAGTTACCTAGAACTTAGATACTATATAGCAATAAGAATAGTATGTTCAAAACTAATAAAAGTATTAAGCTTTTTTATTAACATATTACTAATATATAATTATTAATATATTATATAACCAATCCTGGAATCGCAAGCATTACTATACTGTTACAACATAGAGACAGCAAAACTAGTTCCACTGATATCTTACACTAGGTTTGAAAAACTTGTAAATATTACCAGTTATTTTGTTTCCAATGTTCAGGTGAGTTTTCTTTAACGAAGTCTTGTGCCCTGTTCCTTAGCTCAGACCCTTTTAGTAAAAGCAGCTGTATAATGTACAGACAAACTTGACTCTCATTAGCATCTGGATTAGGACGAAGTACCTAAAGACATTCCATGATAAATCTGTTACATTTAAACTATTTAGCTTATATATTACATTTTGAGATACTTTCATAACAGTCTTTGAGAAGATCTATATCTCTACGACATTTTAGATATTTTTATTATTGTAATTAATTTCGAGATATTACCAGCAACTGCTATAGATAAATTTATCCAACCAAGATAACAAAGATTCGATTTGTTACAAAACATTATTAAAGAAAAAGTAATTTTAATCGGGAGTTAATAAAGTTTTACTGCATAACATAAATTACGACGAAAACACAAAAGTTTCATAAAACAAAAACCAAACTGACGCAATCAAACAGCACAGGCACACAAACATAAGCACGTCAAGTTACCAAAATAAAATACAATATTCGCAAACAATTTTGAACTTGATCATGAATCACATAAGGTATTAAATCGATGTATTTAATTATTTTATTTTATTAAGGATCCTCATCCACTGTTTTATGACTTGTTTATATAATGTTAATCGCCGGTAAGCATTGATGAGATAAGAATTAATATTCAATGAACATTTTATTTTAATAATTCATCTTCTGGCAGTAAGATAAAAGTCTAGCAGACTTTTAAAATTTGTAGAAATACAAAAGGGAACTATTATAAATAGCAATGTGTCTTAATCTTAATAGACACCTTTTAAAAATTTTATATCTACAGAGCATCCGCCTAATTCTCCGACATTTTTGTGTAGGATACGACATTTTAGTGATGTTATGACGATATATCCTTTCATTTTTCTATCCTATGACTAGAGAGTTAGGCGGTCGGACCCTTGATATTAGCAGGGTAAAAAAAGAAGAAAACACTTAAATACGGCTTACGTACACAATGTTGAAATTGTACATATATTACTTTTCCTGTATACGAGAGTGGTATGAAAAGCTCTTGGCCCGACCAAGAAAACAAAGAAAACAAAATTATGTTTTATTTTTCTACATATTCTCCCCTTGTATCAATACAATGGCACTTGGCAGACGATTAAATAAATAATCGAGCTGTCGAATGACAATAAACTAGTTTACATACTACCCTCAAATCTCGGTCAGGCCGAGAACCTTTCAAACCACCCCCGTATAGTTTTGTCTTACCAAGCACAAGACGAGTCTGTCGATTGTGACGATATTGTACTTCCATATGATATCATTGATGGCATCTACACACTTGTTTATGTGCGGTCCGCCCGCCGGATTGGTCACCTCGAATACTAAATAGTCACAGAACTTGCGCAGATGTGCAGACAACGCTCGTGCACCGATCCTTTCCAAAATCCTTACAATCAAACAACAATTGTACATTTAAATATAAGTTCTTGCTTTTGACATGTAGATTTTTCTTTGGCGTTGAGGAATAAACTCTATATGCATTTATTTATATAATTTTCTAAAATTTTGAATAAAGGAAATATTTCTATTCACATCCAATATATTTTCATGCTAAGGGTATTTTTCATAAAATGCTACAGAATAGAAAGTGACTAAACTAAAAGTCTATGTAAATAAAAATTGAGGTGAACAGTGAATATTGGAGTTATGATGATGGATGGAAATGACACCTCAGTCATACAAAGAAATAAATAATATTGCCATTGGAGACCTTGCAGCAAACGGGAGGCAAGGAAAAATTTAAAAACGTTTATATAATTTAGAAATTTTACATATTTCAAAGTAAATAAACGTTTATTATAAATTATGTTAGAATTTTACTTTATAAAAAATATCAGCTAAAATTTGTATCTGCCACCCGTTGCTGCATGATCCCCAATTATTTATAACACATACTTAAACGCAATCGGATTAATTCTATTCGTCTCGAATATCATCTTCCATAAGAGACAAAGGAAAAGTGGAGTTCCTGGCACCGAGAAATGTGATATTATATCGGCATCGTTAGCCATCGATGTCCATTTACGATATTCTTCGTCCACCGATTTTTTTAGTAACTGCTTATTTTCTTTAGGAGCTGGATTCTGAAAAACTCTAATTTTGTAATAATATATTTTAAAAAAAATGTATGAAGTTGTACAATCATGTTGTGTTAGCTATTGATAACATAAACCTGTGTACACAAAAGACAAGTCAGTCATAAGTCATAAACATTGACAAAAGACAAGTCAGTCGTGCGCACTGAAAGTTGTGCACGATACTCGTGATGCAATAAAAGCGGCAAACATTGCTATAAGAAAAAGGATTAAGGAACAATCTGTCCGTTTCACTTGATCTTTAAACGATATGGGTCCCAAACATTTTTAACAAATTGTACATAAACGCGTTTATAAATTGCAAAAAACATGTTCCATCATATTTGACCAATTCACATTGCTAAACCGAAAAATATTCTTACTAAATAGTAAAATCATATAAATAATGATAAATTGAAGTAATGATAAATCTCGGAGCGCCAGGGACAAAGTGGATTTTTTAAGCATATTACATTAAGAATATATTCCATCTACTTTACGGTATTCACATTCCTCCCTTTATTTCTGCTACTTGGCTTTGTTTTTATTTTGAGAAATTTCAACAGACAGTACTTGCTCAAATTAAGCTATGTAGCTAAGAGTATGATTTTTTCATATTACATTATAATGTATAATGTTTGATACCAATCTTATAGTTTTACAAGTTTCTTCGAAGAGGAATCTCAACTTACAGACACATAAACATATGGATAGAGAGTAAAGTGCTCCTATAAATGTTATTTTATACTTTAATGTATGTAATCGCGAAGAGGACGTAATGTGTAGAAAAGTAATAAGTTTATTTCTTAAATTATACAATATCAATTTTATATTTAAAAGACAGGTCTGCTATAGATAAGAATAACAGGTGGTAATATTAATTGAACATAAACTTACTTGCGCAAAAAACTCGACAAGTACTGGTGGGAAACATTGCAACGTGTGCTGAGACCACATGTGAGGCGTATTAGTCATGATCGTCGTCAGAAGTTCTTTGACCGCAGCACCATCACTACCTGTTGATATAAAACCATGTTCATGATGGTGATGTGTGTTACCTCGACCTGAATGCAGATCTACTCAATAAACTTGACCGTGTTTTAAACAACTGCATTCGATTCGTTTTCAATCTCCGTAAATACGACCACGTGTCTGCCCATCGCTCCCTTTTGAAATGGATGCCTATTCGAAAGCGTAGAGATGTCCGTGCTCTAACAACCCTGTTTTCTTTGTTGCAATCACCTAACGCTCCAAGCTACCTCACTCCACACTTTCAGTACTTATGTACGAGTCATACAAAAGACCTTCGATCTTCTTCTAATAGACTACTTATGTGTCCTGCTCATCACTCTGACATCATCCACTCTTCCTTTTTCGTTAAAGCCATTATCCTATGGAATGCACTCCCCACAGACATCAGAATGTCCGCCAGTCGGTTTGCTTTTAAATCCAAGTTGCGCAATTTAATATTAGATGCAGAATCATAAAAATTGCTATCTCATTTCTACTAGGCATAGTATTTATAAGTATGTATTGTATTTATTTTTATTATATTATATATTATTATGTTATATATAGTATGTATGTTTGTGTTATGCTTATTTTATATTATTTTTTTTTCTCTCAAAGATTACATATGCACCTACTTTTATCCTTTATTTTAATCTCCACATCACCTAAAGGTTGACTGGCAGAGAATGCCTAAGGCATTAAGTCCGCCTTTGTACGATTGTGCATAAAGAATAAATAAATTAAAATAGTAAAAATCATATATGGAAAAAAACATCGACGCTGGCCGGGGAGAGGTGTGAAGGTACAATATCACCCCGGTTGGTAAAGTTGTAGATCCGGGCCTGCATTAATTGTATCATCAGTACATATATAAAACGAAGTTGATTTCATATTTATGCCGCCTTAACGCTTATGGAATATTAGATAACAACATCACCAGTCAGTAACTGTCCCACTGCTGCTGCCATAGGAGTTCTATGTGATATGATAGAATTACGATATGTTATAATAGAATTGCGTTTCGATCTTTTGATCCACGCATAAAATAAGATCTATTGTCGTAATTTTAACATTTTTGCTGACTGTACATATTCTTCGGAATTGTGAATGTAGTTCAGAATGTTATTGATAGCCATGGATTTAATGCTACGAGAAACGTTCATGTAACTATAATAGTTAAGGCTCCTACTGTCCTATCTCAAAATTTCATATTGTTTATAAGCTATCAATCAATCCATCATTGTTAACGTGACCGTTGCGACATTAATTTACCCATTAAGGTTATAATATTTGTAGGATAAGATTTCAGGTATATTACCTGCACCAGTCATGTATATACCACGCGCCAGGGTCAGAACTAAAACTCTGTTTAATTCTTCACTTTCCGATGAAACTAAAGATTTCGGTTCGGAAACTACTTTTGACATTTGAAGTTGGACACCTGAACTTCCCAATCCTGTTATGAGACGCAGGGCTGTACTTTCAAAACTGTAATAATATCACAAGTTATATATAAACTTCAAATGTGTTTATTAATAATACAGGTTTAGAGTAAACGAAAATAAATACATTTTTTTTTGGTAGTGTTAATATACTTTAACCGATAATCACACTTCCATGCTTATATTTATAATATTGTTTAAATTAATTATGAAAAACAAATATTTTATACTCGTAGTCAGGTGACGGCGCGTGACGCCATGCCCCTCTACTTATATCAGAACTTAGAGAATTAAACCTTATACATAGATACAACGATACTAGTCTTACAGGGGCGTAACGTCATAGCGACGACATGACAGAAGGCGTTTTCGCGGGAAATTTTGAAAATTTAATTTATTTTTAGTTTTTACTTATTATATGAATGATATTTCTTTATATATTTCATATATATATGTTACGCTCAAAGATCGAAAACGCTCAGTGAGCGGAAAAATAGCTCACAACGCGTTGCGGTCACAGTAAAACATCCACATGGCGAAATTCGTGTTATGGCTCTAATGAAAACGCGCACGACGCGTTGTGGCAATCACAGAAAGACCAAATAGCGAAATTCGTGTCGTGGCTGACATGCTATTCGATCTCAACGCGTTGTGGCAATGAAGAAAAGCCATGATGCGTTCTGAGCATTCATTGTTTTAACCATATCACGACGGACAGGTTGTAACGAACTTCGTCGTTAACACTCCGCTCAGCATCTATGTTATCATCTGGAAGTAAGCAAGGGTTTATAATGTGCCACTGCAAAAGATACTGTATTGATAAAAAGTGCAAGTGTCGCTCCAAGAATATAAAATGCAACTCCAAATGCCACAGTAATAGTTCCTGTAAAAATAAATAGCAATCAAATACTTATTTTAAGTACATTATTGTTGTTTATTGGTGGACAATAAACGTTTGTTCGTGTTAAATATTTTTATTACTTGAAAGAATTTAAATTGTCATAAAAAAATTAAAATCCCTAATTTTTTTAAGTGAATTGTAAGAAATTTACAAATGATTAACATTTCGTGTTCAGTAATTTATTACTTAATATTAATACGTTGATTTTTTTAAATATAAAGTAATCTCAATAAACAACAAATATCGTTTTATTTTAATTTATATAATATATTTCATAATAACAAACACGTTATGCAGTGATTTTATAAAATAAAAAATATTTCCTAAGGACAACTACCAAAACGTTTCCAGCCTAGGCCTAGTAGGATCCATATCGGAAAGTAGTGTGCGTCGTAATCAAATAATATTCCATACGCGTGATGGCTTTTCTTCATTGCCACAACGCGTTGAGATCGAATAGCATGTCAGCCACGACACGAATTTCGCTATTTGGTCTTTCTGTGATTGCCACAACGCGTCGTGCGCGTTTTCATTAGAGCCATAACACGAATTTCGCCATGTGGATGTTTTACTGTGACCACAACGCGTTGTGAGCTATTTTTCCGCTCACTGAGCGTTTTCGATCTTTGAGCGTAACATATACATAAAAATTCGTCTAAACCCCTATTATATGTACACTAATTTTCTGCAATTCATTATTTAAACAGTTCATAAATAAAGTGCTTACCATAACTGCAATTGTGTTTGATTAGCTTGAGGATATGCAACCAACGAATGTATGTTAGAGAGAAGGGTTACCCTGTACCCTGATTGTATGTGATGAATTCTGTATGAAAACATATCTAATAAATTGTGTAATATTCCCCATGCGTGAGATTTGAAAACGTTTGGTAACAGTTGATCTGTAAAATAAAATTACTATTACAAATGTCTATCTTATATGAATATTTATTTTATAGACAAAATTAAATCATTTGAAAATCTTAGGTTAATTTTTGAACTTACTTATAAACCCTTTTATTCCTAATGATTCTATTTCTGTGTAAACAAGTAGACGACTGTAAGTTTCTACTAAAGCTGGAGACATCATACTACTGCCTGGCATATTTGTTTTATTCTGTGCTAGTTTTGCAACATGAGTCACAATTGAGTGTATCAGTGACATTTTACAATGCAATGTTAAACTGTCTAGAATACACATAGACAAGGGAACTGTAGGCAATGGTGTAGCAGGGTTACCATTAGGTAGAGCTTTTTGGCTTCCAAAAAGACTTTCTATCATAATACCCATTGGCCTTGCATAATATTCCTGATTAGTTGAATAGGCGTTACAAAGGAGAGCTATACGATAGTCAGAACCCATTATTGTTGGTGTGTTGTTAGAAGTCATTAAATGTTGAAGAAACCTATAAGAGTAAATAGACTCAATTAATAACAAGTATTATTTCAAAGTGATGAAATAAAATGCCGATACAAATCTGGCGGCGCAGAGACGAACATTTATCACTAACAACGCTATACTTATAATGTCGAAGTAAAATAGAAAACTACCAATTATAAGTGTACGAAAAAAGTATTTTTGTATGAACGATGAATCATACATCTTTCATACAAAAATAAAAAATAAAATCCAAAGAATGGAATGTTTACAAATGCTTTGATAGTGAAAATGCTCAATGTATTGCTACCCCAGTTGCATGTCGGTCTTTAGAGTCATAATACATACTCATACTGGACTTTCAAATTCTGTGGTATAGTCATTGTCTTGTGTTCAGTTTCTGCTTTCTTTAACAAATGTGCCCAAATGCATACAACAGCCATTTGATGTGTGCAATGAGCTTTAGTACAATCAGGTACAAGTAGTGGCTCTTTTTCAGGATACAGCAATTCATATAATTTAATTATTGGAAGGAAATTAGAAAGGGGATTGCGTTGTATGCTTCCTGAAATAAATTGTAAAAGTACCCACATCAAGTGATCTCTTCCTTTCTTCATATCTTGTCCAATAAGTTTATTGTGGAGACCCATCACTATATTCGGGAATGAAGCGAACCCAATAAGAATTAAATAAATAACTTGAGAAGACAGGTGAAGCCAACACCAGTGTGTGGAGGACATTTCATCATCTTCATTTTCTTGCTCACTTTTTTCCATTGGTAAAATCATCAGTTCCACTAACTGATCTTCCAAAGCTATACAACGCTGTTTATGTTGTTTTTGGAGACCTAGCATAGAACACATCATATCTCTAGAATAGGGCTGCTGCAACACATGTCGTAACAAAGCGATTTGTGGTTTCAGTAGTTCATCATCATATGGTAAATTTCCTCTTAATGAGAATTTCAAAGTAATAGGATCTAAACGCCATGGATTCACAAGATGGTCTGCATAACCGGAAAACTCAACAACAGGCAACATATGTGAGTGGCCAATCACAGAAACCATTTGAGCACAGGGCTTAAAACTTTCTACAAAACTTGTTAAAAGATTTGCCAATTGCCAATGTGGCCAGTGATTATTATCAGGATAATCTTTGTGAATTTCTGTCACAATAAAATATGCAGGCAATAATGATGCATTTCGATCAAATATGTATTCAATCACATTGTACAAAGCTTTCAGTTGTGGCATTGTACTAGAGTTTAGCCTTACTGGTAATGTAAAGGCTTTTTCTCTGCAACCCTGCAAAGCATTAAGATATTAAAAGATAAACTATCCACATGTACATATTTTAGTTTGCTTCATATTTTTAATTTTAATTATATAAAGTACTAACACTTCTGTCACATTCACTTGTGTATTGCAAAACAACTGATGAAAAGTTATTTAAAAAAAGCTCTATAAAAAATACTTATGTCAAAGAACCTTACTAAAACATAGATTATGGTAATTAAACTTTTGGTTGTTGCACAAGAAGTTTGCAAAATATACATGTAAATTTAGGTCACAATCAAAGTCCTAATTTATATAGAAAAATCTATTGAATAAGTATTATTTATTTAGTGTTTAAGTGAATGTGTAATAGACTTTGGTAGAGTATATAAATATGTAAAGATTTTTATTTCTTACTTTCATGATCTCTCTGACTCCTTTGTAATCAACACCTCCAATAATTCTTCTGATTAAATTAAAAGATTGTATCCAATAGTCAGCATTTTGGTAAACAAGTTTTTCGCTTGTTAATATACAATCACAAAGCATGCTGCAAATATTTATTAAAAAGATTTACAAGGCTTACCATACCAGAAAACAAAATGAGTAGTAGGAGTGTACATTTCATCTTAAACAGTTTCTAATCTTAAAAAAGCACATCTGCACATTTTCAGAGGCTATAATCGTAACATAAAGTAACATATGAGCTGTATACAATACTGCTTGTAAGTTACTTTGTAAGGATGTTTTAATGTAAAGTTGTGTTCATTACATCAGAACATCAAATGAAGAAGTGCTTATCTGCACCAGTATGACCAACTTGACTTGAGCGTATTTACCTCCTCCCATATAAAGAGATGGGCTTGATTTGAGTAATGAAAATAAATAGATTTTGTAAAGTTAAATGTACACCGTATGATATGTTACAAGATATTGTTTTTGTTAATACATGATTATTATTAACTCTCAACATGGGATCTTTAAAATGGACTTTATAAATATATACAGTATTAACTTATAAAATTACACACTTATCCAATACCTTAGATATTCTCCTAAACAGAACTTTTCTTTCGTAACTTATTCGTAACTTAGAGCTTATTCCCACAAATAATTATATTTTATGTAAATAAACCTCATTATGTACTCAAAAATTAGTTTAAAATTTAACTGATTAAAAAAATACAGGTGCTGAGAGGATTTGATGTGATTTGTGGGATAAACTAAAGGGATTTTCAGTGAAAAAAAATTAATCATCACCTGCATACTTTTATTTAAACTCACAAATATATAAAACAGTAAGTAAACTGACCCTTATAACCTGTTAAAAATAAATAAAAAAACACTTGAACTTAGAATGTTTCCTGCCCTTTTCCTAGAAACATCGACTACCAAATGATCCACAAATGACATCACACTCTCTGATTGGTGTTTCATTTGAAGTAAGAAACGGGCTACAAATATTGTTTTTTTTTTGTTTTATTTATTTAATAATATAAACAATGTTATTTAGCAAAAAAATTTGCTAATAAATTGGCTTGGGTAAATTAGCAATAAATCGTGTTTTATTGCTAACTTTACCCAAATTGCCGTGTAACACGACAATAATTTTAAAACTTTAAGAACATTTTAACCACACACAATTTATTTTTTTATATCATTGCTGTCCAGTCGTCTATTAAACTACTTTTTTGTTACATTGTGGTTTCTATTTACTTTAGATCGCAATTATTTCAGAGTTCTATTTAGAAAAAGCATTGATGAAAACATGGTCACAAATGAAAAGATAAGGAATAAGAAATTATTTGTGGTCAAGATGGTTAAAAACACAATGTTTATTAAATATGATACATTTATCTGATTTTGTAAAATGTAATCAACTGGGTATTAAGATTAAAACAAATTTTAAACTAAAGTAACTAAACTAAAAATAAAGTAAAGCTAGAATAGGATAATAGTAAATATGAATATTGCCATCAAAATTTGTTTCTATTGCATGCTTAAATTTGCAACATTTGCAAATAGATTATAATAAATTTATCCTAGTTATAAAAAATAATGCATTATACTAACCGTGCTTGCAAAATATTGGTGTTGACTAAGTTTTCAAGTAGAGTAAGTAACTGCTTCATCTTATATCTGTTAGTCAAAACTGCTGTTAGTGTAAGGTACTGACGAATGGCAGACTCTTGCAAGTCTGCACTTAGAGTAGTCATAACTGCACAAAGTTTCTTTTGATACATAGATAAGCATTCATTCTCTTGCTCCGGTTTATATACCAGAAAACAACTAAAGGCTTCTTCAATTGTTTCCACCCTCTGTAACAGATGTATAGCATTAAGAGATACCAAAATACTATGAATAGGTACAATAAATGGTGAAATAGTGAACAGATCTTACCAGTATTTCATTCACGATATTTCCTACTTGGGAGTCTGCCATTGTCCATAAAAGGGTATAATTTTAGAAGAACAACTATTATCAATCAGCAATCTTAGTAAAATAGGCCACACAGGAGTTCCATCCTAATAGTGCTCTAAAGAATTGATTGCGTTCATCTTGTTTGAATTAGATAAATTATCAAAAATACCTTTGCATTTTAAAAGTATATTTCTAATAAAATAAATCGAAGGCACACAATTATTTGCCAATGATATTAGTGAATCATAGAGAATTATCCATTATTTTAGTAATCTTACATTGAACCATTGAACTTGCATTGAACTTGATATTTTTTGCCACAGTTTTAAAGTTATTTTTTTTAATATATGACAAAGGAATTTAGGGGATCTAGTCTAAACCATGTCTTGACCAGGGTTGCCATTGCAAAATTTTAAGTTGCTGTGATTTGGAATAAAAACTATAAAATTGCCGTGTATCCATTTTTATATATATAAATTGAAAATTAAGATAAAATATGACATAAAAACTGTATTACTATACTGTAACTATAATTATTCTTTACCGTCATCATACAAATTTCTTAATGTATCCAAAATATCGTCTTCGCCCTTGTTAAATATATATTTATTTTATCCTTCATATTGTCAATCATTTGCTTATCTTATTTGAAATTAACACAATTTCCTTGAGATCGACTAAAATGCTTTTCTAGTAGCGTTCCATTTATTGTGGAATTAATAATTTTATTTCTTGTTTTTGTTTTTATTAAATTGACCTCACTGAAAATTCTTTCAGTCTGCATTTACGTGTAGAGGGGATAATACGCAAAGGACGAAACCGGTTAAATTTTCGCATCTGAGTTCAGGTTGCGTTAAAATTTTTGACCAAAAGTTATCCGTCTTTTCCCTTAATGTATATGTATTTTTCAAAATCTGAATGTAAGGACGAAGCGAGCGCGTAACTATGTCAGTTCAACATCGCGATTTCCCCGCTCATAGAGTCAAGACTGCGTCTAGTGTAGTCTATTGATGTGCCATAAAGGCACTTATAGACTATCGAGAAACTAATTGAAAAAAAAGTAGTTACCATTGGATTGCCGTGTTTTAGAATACGACAATGAACATAGTGCCGTGTATCGTGTTTTATTGCTGACTTTACCCAAATTGCCGTGTAAAATTGCCGTTACCCAAATTGCCGTGTAACACGGCAATTGCCGTGTAAATGGCAACGCTGATCTAGACCATTCTGACTAGCGTTGTGTAAGGGCGCTTGTGCACTACACTGAATTTTCATGTCCGGCGGTCCGATTTTTTCAGGTCCGATATGTCAGGCCATATGTAGGTAATGCGCGCTTGTGCACTGTCAGGAATTTTACCGTCCGGAATTTTACTTTTCTCTATTCCGGACCGGTTTTTTCAGTTCCGTGATGGCGGCAATGAAAAACGTGTTTACGCTTGTGCACTACTGTGTCCGAGATCCGGAAAATTCATAAGGAATAGGCTTGGGAAAAAATGATCGATTTGAATCGATATTTATTTCGGCAATATTGTTAATTTCCAATAAACTTATAATCGATATTTATTGTTGATTATAAAATGCTATATTTTATATGATGATTCAATATAGTTGGTATATATCACTGCATATGCTTTGGCAAACTCGGTAAAGTTCTAATTTGATCAGCGTATGGTTCTAGTATCGATACTTAGCTAGATTTTAGAATCGTATTAAAAGTATCGATAGCTTAAGGTAAGATAAATAAGTGTTGTTACGCTTAGACGCCTAAACAACTGAACCCATCTAAATGGAAATTAATATAGTAAATAGACTTAACTTTAAGAAAGGACATAGGCTACATTTTATCGCGAAAAATAGGGGATGAAAGTTTGCCTAGAAATTTGTTATTATCAAATTTTTTTTAGACAATTGATAAGTATAGATAAATATTTGACAACAGAAGTAATAATAAAGAATAAATAGAAGATTTACAAAAGTAATTAAGTGACACTCAATGTCTTTTTCGCATTTAATAAAAATTTTAATGTATGTCTGTGTCATTAATAAATTTTAAAAAAGAAGTATTCTAAGGGAAAAATATTTCTGCTCAAAGAAACTACACCACGCGTATAAAAATTATGCCTATATATAATACAGTCAACTGATCTCGTAAAGTTCATTTAGCATAATAATTCTCCGCTAACACGGCACTAATTTCGATTTGTTTACGAAATGGCGCCACCGATTGGTCTATCTCTGTAATCGCTGAAAGTTGTTTTTACAAAACTTCGAAAAAAAATAGCACGTTTAAAAATTTAAACATCAAGTAATTTTATTATCTAATAATTTATTAATAATTTATAATATTAAATAATTTTATTTTATTATCAGTAATTTTATTCTAATGTCACAGATATTTTTAGCTATTGTATGTGAATAATGCTGTTCCTAAATAAGTAAGGGTATAAGTTTTTACATCTGATAGTAGTCATCCGATAGCAGTAAAAAAAAATGCTTTCGCCTTGCCATAATTTATTATAGTTTATGTTATACGATCAGATCATTATTTAGGTACCTTTCTATGTCTTCGAACGGAATTACCGACGTTCCAAAAATCTCATCGTACCTAGCGCAAGTGACGTGTAGCTTCAAAGAGAGCTGCACTACACTGCGCCGCTCCGATCAGGAAAAAAACGGACAAGTGCACAAGCTACTCATCCGAGTTTTTCATGTCATTCCGGACCGGAAAAAATCGGACCGCCGGACCTGAAAATTCAGTGTAGTGCACAAGCGCCCTTACTCACTCTTTTTTAATGAGGATGAGTGAGTACCTCATTTTCCCTCGTGAGGGGCTCGCGAGTTACCCCTCATTTGAGGTGAGGATAGGTAATGTTATAGTAGCAGTGAATGAGTACGTAGCGAGGCGCGTGCAACATTGCCGTTTGGTACAAAATGAGGGAGGGAGTCGGTAATGCTAAACAAAACATATTTTGTCTTTAGAATGACCACAACACGCAACTTATTTGCAATAGTGTCAAATGTTCCATTTTTAAAATCGATCAATCATTTATATTTCGAATCATATTAATATTTTTCTAAATAAAACCGATACATTTTTATTAACTTTGATTTTTACTTAAACTGATTAATATCATTTATCTATAAAATTTTAAATACGAATTTGCGAAGAAACACATAAACAAACCTGAATCGTACCAAAAAACTCATAAAACTTAACGGAATGCGTTAAGTTTTATGAGTTTTTTGTTATAATATCTTCAATCTTGAATATGTTGAGTAAGTATCGAGTCGCCTTTTCATTCGAAACAACTCGCTACTTAGCTCCTCACTCAAAAAGTGAGGAGCTTAATGAGTTGGTTCAAAATTGAAAAACGAGTACTCCCTCATTTTGTCGAAATGAGGAACTCAAACGAAGCACCTCGCGAGTGAGGGGCTCATCACTAATTCTGACTAGTTCACGGTGCTATGGTTTATCTTCTGTATATAAAAATATCAACATTGGCTATAAAAGTATGATAAAGTTTATCTGTTAAATACATTCTTTTCTTGTATAAGCGACCGGAAAAGGAATTTATTTTAGTTTCTATCCATAATTCATACAAAATTAACTGCTAAAATATTAAGCAAATTAGGGGCACGTCCGATTAGGGTTACAATATCTCAGGATTATTTTAAACATCTCTTTAAATACTCCTACATTAACGTTTCTTCTGATTTCTTTAATCATCATTGAAAACATGAATGTCGCATGCGCACGCTGTATAATTGATTTACGAGTTTAATACCAATATTTATATGTTTTCGGAGACGATTTCATTTTGTTATGATTATATTATATAATGTAATATTATATATTATTATTATAATCATCAAAAAATTTTATTATAATTATAATTTGAGTAAGTGTTCTGACCTCGAAATTAGTTGACTTATATCTTATACGCTGAAAATCCTATCGACCCCACTATTTAGCGAGCTTACTTTAGTTTTTTCTTGTCGTCCCGCTTACCTCGCGACTCGTCTCGTCATCATAGAGAAATATAATATTACCAAACTCGTCATTCACGCTTGGTTCGCGTCTAGTCTAAATAAACTTTATCATACTCTGTGGTCTTTAAATAATAGAATCTATTGTAACGAATGAGAGCTTTAGATGTCAGTTTGACTGCTAAATAGACCAATCATATTATTTGTGGTAGTGCTAGATTTTCTTTCGATTGGTTGAAAATCTTCGAGATTATAAGTCCATTTATTGAATTGAATAAATGTTAATTTTAATCTGCCTCTGCCTACATAGTTTAGATTATTTTCATAATTATTCTCAGTTACTTTTATTAGAGTCTTTTATGTTTCCATCAGGATATTATATATTTCCTTTACTCTTGCGGTGATGGAGTCTCCGCCTTCATTTTCTACACAGTCAGAAGCGCCACCGTTAAGTGAAGACAGTGGTTTACTGATTACGAGTGGATCGTTTTCTAGTGATTCTGCCAGTGGATGGCAGCACGTCGCATCCGAGGTGAGCTGATTAAACGGCATAATAATAACTTATGTAACCTACACTCTTCAGTAAATGTGTTCTGTGCCTACATTTATAGAAACACTGATGATGAGTGTATTATATCAATCATTTAATTGTGCTTGCGAGTTTTGTGTGCTCTCTTAATTCTATAAAACAATTGAGTTATTCGTTCATCAAGGTGAAACTTGGCTGTGCTATTTAATTTCACATTTCTGATGTATCCTTATGTGTAGAATGTTTTTTTTTTGTCTCAATGTTGCTTGCTATGATGAAAAGGTTATGGTTTAGTTAGATTTGTTGCTTGAGAAGGATATTTTATATTCAAAACTAATCTAAGATTATAAGCTGCTTATATGTTTTGTTGTGTTTGCTATCTTAAATCAATTTTTGATAATTTGGTTTAATATAAAATATTTATGTACTTACTTGAATATTATGATTACAGTACTACTGTTATAATTGATACTAGTTTATTAATAATGTCTAAATATTTGTTATTAATGTAGTTAGAATTTCATATTGTTTTCAGTCTACAGCTATTTTTGTATTACCATTAGTTGTGAAATAATTGTTTAGATCTTATTATAAGAAGCCACTTTCTTAATGACAATGAAAAATATGTTTTGTCAATAATAAAGATAATACAATATTAATTGGAATCAATTAACTAATTTTGGCCTGGTCACATCAACAAACAATAGTACAATAAAAAATTACAATAAAAAGTTTACTAATGTGACATTAGTAAAGTAACCAATTATAATGTGTGAAAAATAAAGATAATACAGTATTCGTTGGAATTAATTAACTGATAGCGGCCTGGTTACATCAATAAACAATTACAACAGTACAATAACAATGCATATGCATTTGTAGGACTGGGACTGATGAGAACATGCTATCATTGATTTTGGCTCTAATTTTAGTTAGTGAAGAGTCCAAACAACCAACCAACTAACCAAGAGTCTGGTTAAAAGTTGGTGAAGGTGTATTTTTGAATGTTAATAGTAATAGTAATTTAGCAAACAATATTTTTCTGAAACAAAGTTAATAATATGTGATATAACTTTCTCATTGCGACTATAAGTATTTTTTGTGTTGGTTATGTGATACTCTGCCAATTATGAAAAGATTTTAAATTTTTTTTTAAATTCAACAGCTTAATGGGCTGAACTGGTTCCATTTAAATTTTATCTAATTCAAATCAGTAGTTTTCTTTTAATATTAAAACAAAATATGCTTTCCATCACTTAAATATTTTGATGTCCTGTTTTTGTATCAACGAAAAAATAGTTTTTCACCATGCAGGCAGTGTGGTTTGGTGGGTGTTACCAACTGCAACTGATGCACAAGAGTCAATGGCTTGAAGTGCCTTCTGTGGCAAGGAGGATCTTGAGATAATGTTCTGCAACCCAACCAATGACCAGCTCTTGCGAAATTTGCTTAATAACCGTATCACAGACCAAACATGGTTATTACAGTGCCATGAAACTCCTCATTATAGTAATAATTAATATTTACCTATGTATTTCAATAATCCTCCATCAATTACGAATATTTCAATTGTTCACACAACTTTTTAAATGTTTAATAATTAAGTATCTTTCAGAAGAAATGCAATAATTCTAAATAAATTGTTTGTTACTATTAAAATCATCATATATTTAACTTACATATTATATTATATACAACCATTATAATTTAATTATGAATTGCTTATTGCTAAGTTGTTTTGTTGAAGCTTTTGTTGAACACTGGCCTAATTTATTAAAGCCTAAATTCATTTTATCAGTATTTTTTTTTGTTTGTTGCGATTGTTGGGAAAATATCTATGGTGTGAATTTCTGTTTCTGTACTTATGCTATTTAATACATAGTATTTACTCTTTAAAGCTCAGCAAATTCAACATCTTGTGTTTTTTTATTTAATGTTAATAATTGCTTTTATGTCATATTTGTAAATACTCATTACAATGTCACACAACAGTTGCAGGAAAGTGATTTCGATGAAAGATCATTATCACTCTGCGAGTCAACAGAGACCTCAGAACGAATGTGTGGAGATTTCTTTAATACAGTCAAAAAAGGACCTGCAAAAGTAATTCTCACAACCATTGAACCTCCTCCTGAATTCCAGGTAAATTTTATAAACTGCTTGCTTTTATTAAATGTTAAAATAGCAGACTAATAATAAGATCAATTCCGTTAAATTTCGTACGTCTTTATAATAGGGTATCTTTGTTTGGAAATGTTCTTATAAGTTTTTATTTCAATGTAGTCAGGTAAATCTCATAAAACAATTTTTAACCCTTGACACAATAAAAGGGTGTTAGAAGTTTGACTACAGGTCGAAATTAAATTGCGTTGCATGATATCCTTATGCAAAATGACTATTATCAAAGCTATAATCTGATTGGTAATATCCATTTGGTATCAGCTATGATGTTAGACCTTTTAAAAAAATTCGAATTTATGTGTACCTAGTCTAGCCATAACTTCTGTTACAAAGAAAATATCCGATTATAAAAAAAAAATCTTTTAAAGTTTTATATGTGATTATGTAGAGTGAAAAAGATATGTTAACGCACTAAACTAGTTATTCAAAGTGTCCACCCTTAGCTTTAACGCACGCTTTTAAACGGTTGGGCCATTCGTCGATGGATTTACGAACGGTTTTCATTAGAAAATTGGTCACTGCTACCTCCAAAGATTTCTTGAGCGACTCAATATTTGGGTGACGTTTAGAGCAAGCCATGTCCTCTAGCACAGACTACAATTTATAGTCGAAAGGGTTTAAGTCCGGACCAAAACCGAAGGCCAATCATCAACCTTTATGAAGTCTGGAACATTTTGCTCAAGCTAAATTTGAGTAGTGCGCGTCTTATGACCCGGGGTTGAATCCTGTTGGAATGTCCACACTTCGTTTTTGAATAAGGTATTGTTGAGAGGTTTAACTACCGCTTCTAACACGGTATCTTGATACTTTTAACACCTTTTTCCCAAAAATGGTTGTTAAAAAATCATTGGTAAAGAATATTTTTCTCTAATTTTCGTCTGCATATCGGAGTAACAGCTGTTTTGATCTTTCGACTCTCTTTTGTTTTAGTGCCTGATTTAAGTTATGCCCTGTATATCTCCGGTAAGCCCTTAGACCTAAGTCTTGTTTGATAATCCGAGAAAGTGTCCTCCGTGACATTCTCATTTCTCTGGAAAGGATTTACTGCTTCCTTATGGGATTTCGACAAATTCTGGCTTTGACTGCATTAACAGCCTAGTTTGTTCGAATAAACCGGGGTCGGCCGGATCTCTCACGGGCATCAACAGACATGGTTTCAGTGTATCTTTGGATGGTACGATACACAAGCATTCGGCTAATCACTAGCTTTTTCAATGTATCAAAAATGTCGGCTGGCTCCTAACCTACTTTGTACAGTGCAATTATTACAATCCTATTCTCTTTAGTGCCCCACTCCATTTTCAAAACAAATAATTTCTTAACAAAGAACATACAATAATGCCGCGAAAGTCTATTTTTTTATCGTAGAAGCTAATGTTCGAAATTCAAACTAATGTCTTTTTTAAATGTATGTAAACAGTCAGTAACAAAATTTATGGCTAGACTAGATATAAAATAGAACATTGTAGTATTTATTTATTTATAAACACTTTTTTTTTTCAGGATAATCCAGGCTCAGTTATTATTGAAAAATGTACGACTGTGCTCGTTCCTCCGTCTGTTGTTTGTACTAATGATTCTCCGAATAAAATAAAAATAACTAGTTTAGATATTTCTATGTCTACGAGTCATGTGTCTCCCATATATCCAAGGAAATTGAAACCAGATTCTTTATACGAACGTCGGCAATGTTTGAATCATCGGTTCACAAGCCCACGTTTGCTTCACCTTAGTCCGTGTCGTGCAACAAGACCTTCATCGAGAAATTCTCTTTCTTCACGATTGTCCAGTAGTCATAATTCTCTCATAACTCAATTTCAAGTCGATGATTCCAGTTTTATAACGCAGGCTATATCACATGACACGTTGTCAGCCAAAACCTCCGACATTACGGATATGTACAATGTACCATTCGATAGCGATATTTACGCAGTACCTATTGACATGGTCAGACCTAACCGTAACAACATTCGCATTAAAGGTAAGAGATTACCAAGAAATAATAAGAAGCGTGGGAAAAGCACTCCCCAAAATATAGGAGCCAACTGCCCCTCAGAAAGAAATACGAAGTTAAAAGAGCCTGCCAGACATAAAGATGTTAAAACGAAAAGGCATAGTTTACCGAGTTCTTCATTTAAAAAGAGCGCAACTGACTCTGACACTGATTCTTTGCAAGTGACCCTTCGTGAAATGAGAAAATATCTGCATACTCTTTATTCTAGCTCCAGTGATTCAGAATGTCGAAATACAATGAATAAGAAAAATAATGCAATAATAACTGGTGTAGGCAAACACACAAGGCATTGTAGTAAAGAAACGGCGACTGCTGTTTTGTTGAAGGAAAGCAATGAATTGGGTAAAACTATGGAAACTAATAACAATCACAAGAAATCTAGCAAAAATTCCTTTGGAATGAATTCTAAGAATAAGAAACATAAAGAGAACATACCGAAAGATATTTTAGGTGTAGATAAAAATGAAAAATGTGTAAAAAAGTCTAACCAGTGTCAGAAAACAAAATTGAATCCTGTGAGAATATTGTCAATAAACTTAAAGCAGAGTTTCTGTAATTTATTTCGATGGCGACGGCATTCTGTAGTTGAGAGTACGGTCGAAGTTGAAAAGGTGACTGGTAGTAGAGATAGTCCTCCGGCCGCTGTGCGACGCGCTCTGCCCCCATTACCACAGACTCCTCACACTTCACATCGCTCCGTTAACGAAGAGGATCAAATTATGGACTTTGCCACTTCTTTACAAAAAGTAAAAGATGTAAGACACAAAAGTATAAATGAAAGTGAAGTTTTCCACTTTACATTATCAAATTGGTTTCATTTTAATTTTATATTTTCAGTATGGCTGGTATTGGGGTCCCATATCGGTTGAAGCTGCTGAGAAAATACTTTCAAATGAACCAGACGGTTCGTTTATTGTCCGAGATAGTAGCGATGACCATTATATATTTACCTTGACTTTTAAATTAAATGGACTTCGACATGTTAGGATAGAGCACGATCAGGGTAAGTTATACCTTATTCCAATTTTCATTACTACACTGAATAACAGTTTTCTTCAAAAAATACACTACTAGAGATTTATGTAATTTATTATTTGAAATTCTCTTTAAAAGCTTTTTTTAATCTATAATCGAAATGTTACTTTCTTCCCAATGTGTATTAAGAAATTACTAGGTAGTCCACACCTCGCAACACGCACAATTCGCACATCACAGTTAAATAGAATATAAAAACAAAATCATTACCTGTGCGGTACATAAATCTGATCTTTTAAACTACGCATCGGATTTCAATGCGCTTCTCATCAATATACAGAGTGATTCAAGAGTAAGGTTTATGTGTATAATACAAGACCACGCGAGCGAAGTCACTGGCGGAAAGTTAGTTATCTATATATCACTTTTTACAGGTAATTTTTGTTTTGGCGGTTGCACAATGTTCAAAGCTCAGACGATAGTAGAGTTCATAGAAAACGCTGTGGAGACATCCAGAAGCGGCCGCTACTTGTTCTTTTTGAACCTGAGACCTGTGCTGGGACCCGTCCGTGTACAACTACTGTACCCAGTGTCCAGGTTCAAACGTGTGCAGAGCTTACAGCACATGTGCAGGTATTTGACTAAGTATTTAATTACAAATAAAATTACCACTATCGATCTATCAAACACCAGACCTGGCGATTTTAGAATGTTCAATGTTTTGAATTGTTTTTCTATTTTATCAAATGAAGTAAAATCGTACGTCTTTTTTTATATAGAGATAGAGATACGAATGAGAATTTAAAATTTGAAATTGTCTTAAAAGATTTTTTTTATCACACCACAGAAATATTGACTATATATATTGACGTGATATATTGACTTTATAGATTAAAATTATTGTTTCCTTAAATCGAGTCACTTCTGTAGAATAAATTGCTGTCCTTACCTGTATGTTCTATCCGCCTCCCGTGCAATACCTATGCATAATGTATTTTTATCAGATTGCGCGAAAACCACAAGGCATTATTAATAAATAATGAGAGGTTATTATAAATAGTACCCTATTTATCACTTTGTCCATAACATATAGATTTAATTTCTTCTTATTGAAGTCATAAAAAATATTTTTACCTTTCTTTTTTTACAGATTTGTGATATTAAAATACGTACGTCGTGACCTCATTAGCGGCCTGCCTCTACCGAGACGTCTTCTAGATTACCTAAGCGCCACACACTACTACTCTGAACTACTTGCCGACATATAGGTGATATGTATAAATTACATTATTAACAAGCACTCCTTTTGATCTGACATCAAAACAAATCTATTTCTAGCTATTTGTAATGCTTAGCAAATATATTAGATCATTTGTAATAATGAAATTAACATGCAATTTTATCATTGCGATAAATAGTAAGTGTACATTATAATGTATTTGCAGTTATATCTCTTTTGTGCACACTTTTTGTGTATGCTTTGGCTAATATGAATTTATTTAGAGATGTAAGCAATAGATACCAGACTTCGTGCCTCAATGATCTATATAATTTCGAAAGTAATATTCGAGACATATTATAGTTTTGAAGTATGTATGTATACAATGTTAGATTACTAGATAATATTCTGCTATTTACTGTGTATTAAATCAGCTAAGTGCAACCTAAGCAATCCTAGCGAGTACAATCTATTTATTATAGTAAGCCCTCACTGAGTTAATTGTGTAGCTCGGTATTTAAAATCACACTAAAACGATAGGCGTTAATATTGAAGGTAGTTTAATTCTATTTATTTTGTGGTTGTGTGGTTTTTAATTAGTAATGTTAGAGTAACGTATGTAATTTTTGTAACGAAATGATATTTAAATACTTATTATTAACTTATTACAGATTAGAGCTAACTTGTTAATGAAACCAGTATGCATATAACCTTAATGTTATATGTTTTCGTAATGGATGTAACTTATTTTTGGGTTGGTTAAGTTAAAACAATTAATGGTTGATGTACTGAGTTAGTTACTGTTAATGACAATCTAAGGTATGTAAACATTCTGTGGATGATGATATTTATCGACAGTTTCTTTTTATCGCTTTTGCATCGGCGACTTTATTTATTAAATAATGTTATTTGTTACTGAATGACTTTAAAAAAGGTGGAAACGATTGCTGGGCGTTGAGTAAACTAAATTTTTAACCGGATTACCTTAGTCCATTGCATATCTAAAAAATTCAAAATTCCAAATACTAAATAAATATCCCACGAATATATTTAAGTTAAAACTTACACTCGATCTTCTGGCAACATCGTTTCGACGCGAACAGGATAAATAATGATATTTTTTTTTTCAAATTAATAGCATTATACATCAGCACGATGTGTTTACTACCAGTCGATGCATTGAATTTGCCAAAGATAACTTTTAATTTAATAACTATGTTGTGTATATTGGGTTATTTATGTTAATTAGTAATGCTCTCAAAACTTTTATTAATATAATGCCTTTCAAATTACCACCGTAACATTAAATATAAGATATAACAGTAAGGTTTTACAAAGACATACATATCACCTTATACTGTTGAATAATGTTAAAATCAACCTGTTACCGATGTAACATTATTAATATACATGCATGTTGTTTTAAATATTAAGGGTTGATTTTTCTTTAACTCAAATATTTAATCCGTGCGGCTGTGGGCACTATCATTGACAGATCTTTAATTTTATAAAGTAAACATTTGTCTTCTTTTTAGAGAAAGTTCCTGTGATTGCTATTCTTTATATTGTAAAAATTGAAATGCTTTTATTTGTACCCAACATGCCTAGTTTATTGAAATAATAAATACCATCATATGATATTTAATTGTACGTCGGCTTATCACGTTCACTTAACATCGTGTTAAACCATCTTCAAACTTTTATTTAAGTATGAGAGATTAATTTTGTATTAGATAAATAAACTTCCATTATCGTCGAGCTTTAATACAGGTTTTTTCAAAGTGATTTTTTTCTATGAAAAGGTGCATACAACTTTATGCATAGTAAACTTGAACCAAACTTTAGTTCATCTCGTATATTTTGAATGTAACACAAGACGTACAAGTTCCGTTTTCATAATATACTTAAATTAAGTGCACCTCTACAAACTCTGCCTGGTAGCAATCGACAGATGCAGAAATTTATCCTAATTGCGCCGTTTGGCGTCATCTCAACAGACAAACAAATAACAAACAAGTTAAGTTACATTATGGTAAAGAATGCGAGAAATTGCGATGAAAATTGTTTGTTTTTAATCACATATATAAAATTTATACCTTCCCAAGTCGCGATAATCAAAACTTCAAATTAGAATTTTTACCTGTGGTGTACATGCGCAGCGACATTGTATGCTTTTATAAAATAAGGATTGTTTGGCAATCACGGGTTCTTGCTAAAGACTGATTATATTTTAAACGACTACATTTTATTGAGACACCCAATAAAATGTAGTTAAACCGATCAATTTCTTATTCGTTGCTTGCGTATTAAAATTTACAACAACTAAAATCAACACTATATTGTGAATTTAATTTGGCCGTAATTTACACGTCTACGACGTTACAAAATACGTTTACAACGTTACGATTTATCGAATGTCAAGATTATGCCATCCGAATATTCGTTGATTTAAATGAATAACCATTAGCGACTGCTGTTCTATATATTTTTCTGCGGTAGTACCGACAATTATTAAAATATTGCAAATTTAATATTACCATATAAATTTTTTTGTCATGGAAATAAAGAGGCAAATTATTATGATTATATAGAAATTTTGAAAAGGTTATTGTAATGTAAGTGTTTGAGTATTGAAAAATCTACCCTAATATGTGAATATTGTATATTTTGATTACACTAACGCACACCGCAAACAAGACAATTCTCGATGCAAATTTTTTATAAATCATCATATACAGTAGAACTCGTAAGTTTCTAAATTTATACATGCAATTCTTTTTCTGCGTTTCATTGAAGGGTGTTTATACTAAATTAGACTCTTTCAGAATTATACAATTGAAAAACGAAACCAAATCCCCCTTAGATACTAAAAATTTAGAACTGATCCTTCGAGTCTTGTTTTAATAGTAATTTGTTCAGGAAAAACCTCATAATGTAAATTTTTGTAAGTCATGATAGCGTTATTGATATCAAAATTGTTATATTATCATGAGAAATGTGATTTTAATGGAGCATATGTGTGAAAATGTTTTGTTTTACTTTCATATTTATGTGGTGCCTGTATATTGCAAACACGTGTTTCACACGTCTTATACATTTAAATCGTTATATACTCGTATATTATTTCAGTAAAATCTGATATGTTGTTTCCAAGCAGTCATTTCATATATATTGAATAGTATGGAAATTATTGATATTTATAACTTAATTTGATTTGATATCACCAGTAATACGGATTTTAATCATTAAGATTTGTGTATATATAATTTTTACTGGATATAAAATGTAAATCATGACCGCCGTTTATAATAGAAACAGTGAGAGAATAAGTTTTATTCTCTTTAACGTTTAATTCCACTTGCTTGCTTTCTACTGCTCTATGGTGAACGTCCACTAACCCGTATCGAATTGACGCGAAAAGGATTTACTATGCTTTATGTTAATTTAATACAGTACTACATTTACTCAGGTAAGAATGGCAGGGTCTTATAGCGCCATTCATTAAATACTTGCTCTAAGCTGCAATTAATCAGTGCACAGTGGTTCCATTTGGGAAAAGGCGAACATAGGAATAAAACTTGTAATTTAGGATTTTTTTTATGTACATAGGTCTTTGTAAACTAAAAAGATATATGCAAATAAAAAAATCAATCTAAAACTAGAGCTCAATTATTATATATTCCATTGAAAAACAACTCATTTCCGATGGAAAAATTGCGCAAGATCGCAAGTACCGGACGTGATTTGTTTTTTTTTAAAGTTCAGGATGCTTTATTCTATCGTAGGGATATTGTCAAATTTGTCACGACTTCAATCTAACTACAAGAAAAAAAAAACTTATTCTTCTTAATACAAAAAAATCGTGTGGATTATTTTTCTCGAAAATCCTATGAAAATTTTAATCAGTAAATCCAAAACTATAACTTTTGTTCCTATGTTCACCTTTTTACCAAATGTAATCACTGTGCGAAGTGAATTATATAGCAAGCAACGATTTTTTTGTTTTCAAATGCCGGCTGTAGGTGTGGCTCGGTATTACCAAGAGCACGCGGTGCTATGCGAATTCGTAAAGCTTCGAAAATCGTCGTCGTGTCATGCGTGAGTTGCTACCGTTAAGGGCTAAAGGACGTTTACCATAATAGTAGCACTTATTGACGGCAATAATAATGTTATTTATTGCTGACGATATATTATGAAGAACAGTATATTGATACTGTTTTTCTTTTTGTCAGTTTTATATTAATTGCTTTCATCTCATTTCTTAAAAGACATTGTTGACGTTTATCTAGTTCTGGAGCTAAGTTGCCAGCCTAAATTCATTTGAGCTGTTTAATTCACTTAATTAGAAAATTGAATATCTTTTATTTTTTTTTTGCACCAAACATGCAGTCCAGTTATTATATTTGTTTTATTTTTTCATTTGGAAATGATATATCAATTTTTAAACTTTCGCGTTGCATTATATAAGATTGTATTAAACGGGTATTAATGCGATAGATTGTTAGGTTTTTCGCCTACCTATATATTCCCGACGTTTTGACCGGTTTACACGGGCCGTGGTCACGAGCTGACTGTTGCTGTTGCTCTGAAGTGGAATCCACTTCCACCGTCCAGTTTTTTCCCCAGGTGCTGTCACCTACAACACTAACAGAATTCTTATTTTGTATCGCAGCCGTATTATGGTAATCACTGGATTCCAAGTTGTTGATAATTGTTGACAACCTTGAAACTCGAAAGAGTCCGTGAACACATCACAGCTGTAAAAAACCGCTGGAAACTGGAACAAACCACTGGATTGAATTCCGTCGCACACGGGTACTTTCCGCGGATCGCCATTTCTATACGCGGATTGTGCGTTAGGTGTTTGAAATTAAAAAACATCTCAGCAATTTCAATCGTGAAGATGGTTTCAAATTGTCAAAAATTTGGAATCCAGTGTTAAAAAACTTTTCGCGTTTGCCGGACTACCATAATACGGCTGCGATACAGAATATGGATTCTGTTAGTGTTGTATGTGACAGTACCTGGGGAAAAAACTGGACGGTGGAAGTGGATTCCACTTCAAAGCAACAGCAAAAGTCAGCCAGTAACCACGGCCGGTGTAACCCGATCGAAACGTCGGGAAATATAGGTAGGTGAAAAGCCTTACTATCAATCTTGCGTTAATATCCGTTTCATACAATCTAATAAAATGCTATATTTGTATTATCTTATACAAGAATACTAAAAGAGGACTTTTGGTTAGTGAAAACTTTTGATGAACGATTTCTTTACTATTTTTGCATAAGATAAATATATAGTTCTAGTTTTTGCATTTTTATATATATTCTGCGCGCAACAAAACTGGTTCTTCACCTCCTTCTTGTGGTTCGTTCTTCTTTTTTTTAATGTTCAAATACGTCATTAACTAGAGTAAAATTTCAAAATGCACACAAAGAAATTAAGTCTTCCAACGCAATCTTTACTCTCTAAAATACGACGTGACAAAATTTATTAAGTTCTCATTTTTTTGCTCCATCAATTTGAATGAATGTTTTCTTTTCAAAATTGGGTATTTTTTGTTTTGTACAGGAATAAATACAAACATCATGTATATTAGTTTTATTTGAATGAGGGAAACGCTATAATCCTTATTAGCAGGAATTGATTTCTCTTATACCTAATTTATCGCCAATGTATTATGCTTATTGCTTAATATTATTTTAGCACTAACACGCACATGAGTACAAATAGAATTCTTGCCAATATAGCGTAACTATATGATATTACTAATTTTATAAATTTGCAAATAATGAAAACGAAAAATATAATTTAACTAGTTAATATGCCTACATATAACAAGACATCTGGACCCTACTTTGTTTCACAAGCGAAATTTCGAATACTTTCGAAACGTTCTTATCATTGTTACAAGGTTTTATTTAACTTGTATGCTTGTTCATAATTTTGTAACTGGATTTTAAAATTATTCCCGACCATTTAAGCTGAAATTTTTTAGGAATACAGCCTTAGTTCAGACAACAATGAGCCGTTAGCTAAGTGAATTCTAACATGGCGGACGAATCAAGTCCGCCATGTTAGAGATAAGATATTTTTATACAAAAGTAATAAAATTAATAACTAAATCCAATATGGTGGACGCCCGAAGAAGGCGGACTTATTGCTAACCTTCTGGGTATCACATGAAAACCTTCGCTGAAAAGATTACGCTTCATATAAAAAAAACTGTTAAAAATATATAAAATAAAATATTTTTGTGCGAATTATCTTCATATATGTTTCTCAAAATTGATTACATATTGCGTCAATAGAGTCGTAATAGCATTTTGAAAATATGCGAAATTTCGTTTCCAGAGACAAAGAGTGTTCCAGGTTACTTCGAGATATCGAATTTTCGCTAACGATTATGATCTTAATTATACAAGAACTAAAGTTTAATATGTATAAATTGCGAGAAATTTTATAGTTTTTCATTACGTGCACAAAACG